ATGGCAAGTTTTTAGGCTTTCGATTACAGGGTCTGGCGAAAGCCCTCATCAAAGTCAATTTAATTAATGAACGCACTCTTCGCACTCGTCGACTTCAGCAAGTAGGCTGAAGGAAAATCAATATTCAAATATGCCATGCTTCCAGCCCAGTTCATCTAGTCAAGCCATGACGACATCAATTAGCACACATCATCTTGAACACCTCCAGAAATTGCCAACATAGGAGGTACAGTACCCACACGCACAAACACACACACACACTCATCCTCACAGTGAAGCCCTTGTGGCTATAAGAAAAGGCGTGGTTGCGAGCTCTCATCGAACACAGACACACATCACTCGCACACACACACACACACACAAAGGGAACTTGTTTTTGTTGCTGGTGTGCGAAAACTCACCCCCGAATTATATATGAAGATGAAGCTGTTTCGCTTACCCGTTAGCCCGCCTGTTTCTAATAAGAAACTGACGCCATTTTGAATTTGTGAGCAACCCCTGCTTAGGAGCGGAAGGAATATCAACCAGAGGCAAGCATGTTTCTTATTTATGACATTTTTATGCTAATGGAATTTACGTGTGTATCTGTGAATATGAGTGTGTGTGAGTGTGGGGAGCATCATGCATGTATGTGAGCACATCCTGGGGGATTTGGGCATAAAGACGACGCATCCGATAAGAAACTACTGCGGGTACTTCGCCCTTACGAAAATACTTAGTATATGCACATAGCTGAGTGTTTGTCTATCAATTTATGCCTATGCTGGAGCATTGATAAAAATTATATTGATATTGGAAAATATGAATTGAATACCCAAATTAATTATGAAACTAAAAATTATACATTTATTAAACTTGTTAATGTCGCATATACTACAAATGCCATTTAATAAATATATACATATGTATATTATTATTATTATTTTTTTTTTTTTTTTGATACTCTACTTTTATCAAGACGAGTTAACAACTCCAACTTTTCTGGCATTTAAGGACTACTCTTGTAGCACAATGAACTTTATGCTTATCTCCCACATGGTACTAAAAACATCCTTGTGGCCAGCTTGTCTCTTTATGGGTCTGCTCGGGCCAGATGGTAAAGTAGCGCAAAAGCCCGATAAACTCTTTTAATGCGTATGCTGAACATAAAAGAATCCTTGTGTTTGACATAATTATGAAAAGGAAACAAATGTGCCACGCACACAGGGACACACAACGGGACTTTCATAGCACACGCGCACAACTTGAAACAAAAGGACTTTTCTTCTCGTATAATGATAAAAAATATATATATAAATATAATAATAACAAAAAAAAAAAAAAAAAACAATGTAGAAATGTGTGACACAGAGCGCCAAATGTAGCAGCAGCACGCACTGCTAGGCTAAAGGACGAAAAAAGGACACTCACACAGACAAGCGGACAGTATGACAGTGTCTTAAAAGCCAAAGCTGCAGGTAATAGCCGATTCGTGACTCTGGCTCTGGCTCTGCGCCTGGCAGCTTCCATGGGGAGCCGCCAGGACACGCCTAGACCTCAAACGACAAACGCCCCCAGTTAAAGGAAGACCCTAAACTCCATCTCGCTCTAGCTGCCTTTGGCTCTCGCTCTCGATCTCTTTCTATGTGGACATTCCGGAAAGCAATTCAAATGCCGTCTACTCGTAAATCAACAACAAAAATTTCCAATTAATTTGCACATCACAAAACTTGCACGTAAATAAAGCAGCCGGCAGTCCCTCTAGTCCCCCCAAGTCCCCCATAGAAATGCCAAATAAATTGCCAAGTGAAGCATCAATAATGGCATAAAAATTGATTACATTTGCGACGAGACACGGGTTCTGGGGGGGGGGGGCTTGGCTTATAGTTGTAAATAGTTCTCCTGCAGCTAGTTAACTATGCAGGAAATGTATGCCGGAATACACACACACACACACACACACACACATACGCGATGAACCCATGCTGAAGAGCTGAGCCCCAAAAAAAAGAAGAGGACTCAGCTTTGTCAAGGGCCATAAACAGGATTGCCTAACCCAACTCAGGCACATTTTCTTGCACTATCCTTGCATATCCTTGAGGCTCTTTCAAACGAGTATATGCCCAAAACATAGATATGTACATATAGGTATCTATGTATATGTTTAAGTATATACTTCAATGGGGCTCTCTGTGTGGGTTAACTTCAACTACAACATGTAGCAGGATGTGCCTCAAAATAGTTTCTACACACATACACACAGATACATACTAATACCTACACATTATTTAAACTTGTCCTGACGAGGGTAAAAAAGATGTTTCCTTCTGCTGCTATTTTATTGTAGTTGCTGTTGTCGTTGTTGTTGTTGCTTCTGCTGTCGTTGTGGTTGTTGCTGGGGCATCTTGTTGTCCTGTTTTGATCTGTGCCAGTGTCTGTGCCAACTAATAAATATGACCGAAATGAAACTGCCCAAAAATTTCCACACAATCACACATTATGCACACCCACACCCACACACACACACAGAAACACGCCCACTTGGTCTCACACATTAGCCATATAGTTTTGTCAGTTGGCTTACAAGTTGACTGCAAAATCCACAAAAGAACGTTACACACACACAATCGTCTATTTATGTGTGTGGGTGTCTGTGTGTGTGGGCGCACGCTCACATTGCCAACTTTCGGTTCATAAGTGGTCGCCTCTCGCCTTCACGTATGTGAAAAATGAACCCATCATAGCCGAAAAACTACAGCAGGAAATTCGGTTAGCAAGTGTTGGCTCCCAATTCCACTATACTATATGAGTGGACCACTGGGTATATGCTTGTGTATGTGTGTGTGAGTGATTATGTGTGTGTGTGAGCTCAAGTGTATGTAATGTGTCCTTGCTCTTATGCTCTTTCATAAGATATTTTGATTTAGCTGAAATGTTCAACCTGAAAACGAAATCTTATAGACGAAGCAAACTTAATTTCTATATTTTCCAAATGTTTAATCAAATAATAAAACACTATATCTGTGCTTGGATTCTTTGTTATTAAGATTTAGGTTTATATTATATTTTTTATAAAATTATTAAGTAAGTATTAATTTTCTTAAATTTAACATTTCCTTTGCAATCACAAAACTTAATCTATAAATTGCTTAACCTTCATTTGTTAATTTTTTTAATTTCGATTTATCAACAATTTGTCAAATTTAAATAAGAAAAAAATGAGAGATATTGCCAATATGTGGTGTATATAGTTTTTTGTTGATTTGGAGAGGAAAAGACTTCAGATTTTCTACTATAAAAAATTGTGTAGATTTTTAATATTAAACAAATCCAAACATTTATACGTAATAATAATTTGTGTAAGAGTATATCTCAGTTTCGTCAAAAATAATTTCCTTATATTGTAAGTGTGTATGAAATTCGAATATTTTTTGTACATTTTTCTTTCTTGTTTTTTTTTTTTTTTTTTTTTTCTTCAAGTCAAATTATGGTAACATAAATGTGGGCTGCAGCAGCCACATTAGCATCAGCATCAGCAACACCAACACCAACGCCAGCAGCAACAACAATCGAATAGAGGAGCTACAAACAAATATCTGGCCAACCCGAAATGAGGGTCGCTTCAGCTTGCCTGAGAGATAGATGGAAATTTGTTTGAGTATTTTTAGGCGCCTTTTTAGAGCGGCGCAACAGCTCCCCAGCAGTTCTGTAAAGCCTTTTGTTGAAATTTTATTTAGCGTGTGTCTGTGTATGTATATCTTTTGCTGACTTTTACACAAAAGCACACACCCGCACAAACACACCCACACATACACACACACACATTTGGATACATTGTTACGCACAATCCGTTTCCTTGAAAAAGCCGCTCTCTCTTTTGTGTAGGCACTTTTCGTGTGGCTCTATGTGTGTGTGTGTGTATATATATACACATATTTGTGAGGGTTTAAGTATGTAGCAGTGTGCGTGTGTGTGGGTGTGTTGGCAATGGCCGCCATAGCCATTGCTTATTGTGCTCCTTGTCCTTGTTGTACTTACCCTTGCCAGCTGCCCCCAATCTAAAGCTATTTTCTCTCTGTCTGTTTTCACTTGTATTTTATATGAAAACTTTGCAGCACACAAATTTGCATATGTAGAAGTCGTTGTAGGTGTGTGTGTGTGTGTGTGTGTGAGTGTGTGAAGCAAATATATGCAAATTTCAAGTGTTTCCTCTTCGTTATAAACCCAACTTCAATGCAAAATTAACAGAAATATGTAAATTTTGTTTTCGTTAAGGTTCACAGTTGAATCTAAAATTATGGCAAGGCTGTCAAAGAGCCTAACGAAAACCCTCAGCACTTTGGTAGGAACACATTTTGTACACAACTGTACCATAAGCACACACACACAGAAGCATCCCATACCCCCCGCCCTCTTCTACCTACAATCACGCATACATTTACAGAATCCAAATTGTTAGACCATAAACGACTTGGCTCGAGTTTGTGCATCGCATCTCCTACTACAGACATCTCTCTAGCACCCATCTATACGTAGACTGTGCTCCTCTAGAGACCCTCTATACAGACAAGTGAGATATCAAGAGGTCCGCTGGATATAGACAATCTTCTGAAATGAAATTTAATTACAAATAATTCACTTTTAATAGCTTTAAATTAATATTAGATATCACAAATTTAATTCATATTATTAATTAAAATACATATATTCTATATACATACATATATGTATTCTTTTGTATATTTCTTCAATATTAATTAATTCTGTTTGAAGTTACAAAAATGCTCGAATTGCGCAATATATATATATATATATATATATATATATATATATATATATATATATATATATATATATATATGTATATATAAAATATTAAGTTATCTTCATATTATATTTTTAATTTTTCGTTATATGTATATTTATTATAGCTTTTTTATGTCACGAATTGTTGTTGTATTCAATCAGCATGTTTTGGTAATAAAGTAAATATTCGTGTATAAAAACGAACAAATTTCGCCTGTCTTTGCCATTTTCCAACTCTCTGGGCACACTATCAGCAGCATTCACAATGGACGGAATTCCTCCCTTACTACGCTCACAGAGTGTCCCATTTCGGAATGATGCAAGCAAATGGGAAACGCGAATGCAAATGTCATGACCCCACCTCCAACCTTTCGCCCAACCCGGGCCAAGCAGAGGTTAATACAACTGCGAAGCAACAAGAGAAAAAAGTCCCAGCGAAGGCAACCCTTAACTTGTTGATCTGCCCGACAAAATGAAAACTGAAAGTGAGCCTTAAAAAAAAAAATAAAAGAAAAAGTACAAAAAACTCAGTGACCGGGCAAACGAACGTTTGGCTACCAAGAAAAGGTTGCCTGACCCAAAAGTAAGATGAAGTACCAGAGTTTGCGGGGATTGTACTTGCATTGGAAATTGGCATCGAAACTGGGTTGGCTGCCCTGCGTTGGACCTGTGCAGGCCATAAATTTCGGAGCGACAAATTAATGTATGAAACCTCAAAACTTGTTTCGAAATCAGCCGATTCTGATGATTATCAGCGAAATTTGCTTGAATTTCAGGCAACAATCAAAATTGGGCAAAAATCTGAGTTTTTTCCCATCACAGCAACCAGACAAGCACAGATCAAATGGTCAAGGATATTCAAGGATGTTGAACGCACCCGTTGGAGAGCAGAGCAGGGAAACTGGTTTTCATGGTCCAGCAGCCGTTGCAGCTTTCAGATGGAAGCCAGGTGTGCTACGATCCTGAACTCCATCTGGATGATGCTGTATGCTGTATGCTGTATGCCGTATGCTGCCTGATCTGCAGACCCACCACCATGAATAGAAAACGCACTTTTTATCAAACATCCGAGCAACGGTTTTTCTATAATAAACTTGCCAAACGAGTTTCATTGAATGCATTGTTGCTCAGCCGCGCCTATTGTCCATATCCGGCCAGACAATGCACAAAGCTTTGCAGCCTCCGGAGCCAGATCGTCATCCCCGGCTGGCGAGCGAATCTGGCTGGGTATATAAGCCACGGCTGCTGCGCAGAATCAATCAGTTTCATTTCAATCTTCAAACGCTGAGGATCAACAGCAGCAACAGCAGCAGCAGCAGCCAGGAGCAGCAGCAGGAAACCACCGAGGACTTTGTGGATCAGCAACAGATCCTCCATCCCTCAGCGCAATGCCCTAAAAGCGCCAAGGAGGCTGTTGCACGCGGCATTACCAAAAAAAAAATCTTCCAAGTTTACTTTCAACCGTTCCGAAAACTACGAATTAAAAAATTTTTTTAAAAAATTCAACAAATTACACAAGTTAAAACAAAACCTAAAACGAAAAACCCAAATACCAAATAACAGGCACCGAAAGTCAGATTAACTCTTATTTACAAACTAAAAATACTACAACAAAAATATTAAGAAAAACCTATAAAAACAGTTTGCAAAAGTAAACCAGAAGCTCCAATCTTAATATAGTTTTGCGATATGGCCTAAAAACGGAATCAAAAATGATAAATGTTTAACGCACAACGAACCAAATTCCATAACAGACACTACAAAACTCTATATAAATACTAAAAAACTATATTAAAAACAAAAAGAAATATAACAAAATTTCAAAAGAAATTAAGAAGTGCACACAACTCGACAACAATTGGAAAGTTTTCAAAGCTAACCCAGAAAGAGGACGAAAAAGGAAATAGCGAATAGATAATAATATTATTTTTTATATTTTACAGGTAAGTTCAGCAATATTAGAGTATAATGCTCTTATAGTGCAGCTAACAGAAACAAATATGTGTTTTATTAACGTGAAATTTTAACCATATATATGTATATAGGACCCCCACAGTTGAGCAGAGAGCTAGACGCCTTCGATTGAACTAGCATGGATCAAACAGCTACAGCAACAAATTCCAATTGACTCCGAGAAAATTGTTATGAAACTCAAAGAAATTCTAAAATGTTTATTGCTCATATTTCTCTACTGCAACGACAAACGACAAATCAACAAATTCATTAACAACAACAAAAAGCCATCTCATCAAGAGAACCAATCCAAATCAAAACGCCTTAAGAGACTGCAATGCAACTGCCAGCAGCCCCAAACCAAAGCATTGTGCCCCAAACAACAGACCCGGCCACCAAATCCTACAGAATTCCGACAAAAACTACAAGGAAGGAAACCCAAATTCAAGTTAGCAACAACAAAATCGAGATTCGCATATAACGGCACAAATGTTGCGACGCCGCCTGCTACGCTGATGACGATGATGATGATGAAGACGATGACAAAGCGTAAGATCGAACATTTGACGGCGAAAGTAGCAGGCAGCAGGAGCAGGAGCAGCGGCAGCGGCAGCAGCAGCAGCAGCAGCGACGGCAACGTCGTCATTTATCTAAGGCAGCAGCTTAACGGGGACACAGTCGCCCCGCCATAGATATTTGGCTGAATATCTAAGCAGGGGCGGCTGCCCCAGCAGCAACCCCTCGACAGGAAGGAATCAAACACAAACACACACACACACACGCATACCACCCCAACAAGCAATCTAAGTTTCTGCGGCGAATTCGACACAAACACAAGCACAGCATCACACACACACTCACACACACACGCATACACAGAGAGAGCTACAGCCTAAGCAAGAGAAATGGAGAGAGCAAGAGCGAGAGCAGCGAGCGCAGCACGAGAGAGCATCTTTGGCAGCCCAAAAAGCGCACAACGAAAACAACATTTCGCAAGTATGTTTTGACCTTACGTTTTAGCTTAACGTTTTTCAGTTGCACTTTTAAAACCTTTCGATTTCAAAGGCCGCTGCACAGCGTTGGCCAACAAAAACAAATCGAAATTAAATATATCAAAAGAAATATTTAGCCAAATTAATACGCAAAACAAAAAAACAGCTAAAAGGTGAGCTTGTGCTGCGAACACAACAAAACAAAAAACAAAAGCAAAAAAAAATATATATCTATTTAATAATGTACAGCAGCGATTTTCCATTAACAGCCAAACACGTTAACTCAAAATCGAATCCAAATCCTAGTCCTACTATAGTACTGCGAACAAAAAAAAAAAAAACCTTAGAAAGAAAAATAAAACAAAAAATTGAACTCTTCTTCCACGGCATCGCAGAAGCCTTCATTTCCAACCCGAACCCGGGCCCCTGTTAACCTACAAAATCCACACACACAATGCAATAGTTTTTCATTTTGTGTATCAAAACGCAAATCGAATAATGTTCCAAATTTCAAATTAGCGTTTCGTCCTTATGAATCTTTAGTTTTCACAAACCAAGTTATTAAAACCTCTACGAAAATCAAGTTTCGCACATCAAGAGCTTCAGGCATAAACCAACCACCAATTTGGCACTGAACTTACACACACACACAACACACATACTTTCGAAAATATACCCATGCAGGGGCTCACGCTCACACACACCCATGCACACAAAACACATACACGCACACACACGCACACGCACCACATATACCCACACCACTTTGGTAATAAAATGGCTGCAAAGGAAGCTGCTTCTACGATACCCAAGAAGAAAAGAAATAGCCCGACCCCAAAACACATTTTGATAGCGAAAAGTATCAGAACATTTTTAATTCTAAACATTTTTGACGCTTTCAATATTTTTTTTGCATTTTCAAAAAACTAGAGATGGCAAAGGCGTTGCAGCAATTTTTAATTCGAATTTTTTGAAAGTAAAAAAAAAATATTTAATGCGCAAAAATGTTCACGAAAAAAAACCTAAACACGAACCAAAAATGGTACATACTCGTAGGTAGCATAAAATCGTTGCCAATATCTTTCAAACACTTGAGAACTAAAAAACAAATCGTCTGCTGGTCGTTGGTAACTAAACACAAACCGAAAGAAATACCCCTTAAAACCGAATTTATTTTGATTAATTAGGAATTTTTATTTATGTTTATGGGTAAAGCGGCAAATATTGACGAAATTCAAAATCAAAACTCACAAAACGCTAACAAACTGACAAATTCATATTTCATATTTATTCAATTAGAAAATGAATCTAATCTATTTACAACTCAAAATCCAAACCAATTTAATGATTCTCATTTTATTGCCTTATACATTTCATACGGAAAAGCCTTCGTTTCCAACCAAAAACAAAAAATAAGACTGATATTTAGAAGATATTTTAAAAAATACACAAAAATTGCTAAGAATTAGTTAACCCAAAAAATTTTATTTTTTATTTTATGCATTGAAAACCAATTACAAAAATATCCCAAATTCAAATCTAAATTACTATAATATTTACAAGAAATAGAAAACAATCAGAATTAACTTTTTTAAATTCTCAATTATTTATTGGAAGATAATTAATGTCTTCATACTTCCAAATACATTCGTTCAAAATCAATATCCAAAAATATATGCAAACAAAATTCAGAACTCAAAGTAAAATAAATATTAAAACTTTTTTGTTTTTAATAATAACATACAAAATTGATTTTCAATTTAATACTTAAATTAATGTTTAGCACAAATAATTTGAAAACAATCCTAAGAACGTGAAATCCAAAAATTGTTCATATAAAAACAACCAAATTAATTTATTCTTGCTGAGAAATTTCTAAAATTCCTATAAATTATAACAAAACAACTTTAAATTGATCAAATTAAAAGAAAAATTATTTTATAAAAAACTTGTTTAGAAGCATTCACTTGATATCTAAATATCGAAAATATCCAAGCCATTGACACTAACGAAAAACAAAAAGGCATTTTTCAGCTTTTACTTTGACACTAAAGAAAACATAATTCCATTCTTGGGCTTTTACTAAACTACAAAAAACGCCTCTCGCAATAATTTATATAATTAATTATTCCTCTCCAAAAGCTTATTTTGATCACAAACAAACAATTAACAGAGTATCTAACAGTCTGTATCTTTAGCTATTTAAAAACTTTTCAAACAATTATATTTTCGAAATATTTAAGACTGACCTGAAAATTCTTTCTGATTATTATTATCTCGAACAAACTTTCAGTTATATTATATTCAAAGCTTCGACAAATTATTTTACAAATTCCATATCTAAAGTAAATCTTAACGAAATAATATCAGAGCTCCATATCTAGAGCAAAATTTACATCTACAAAAAATGAAACAAGAAAATCATTAATATTCTGTAAAATTTTTAGTAAATTTATATGTTATTAGTTATTATTATAACAAAGCAAAAGCAAATAATTTTATATTTAAAAATTTTAAATTTTTGGATGTTCTTATTTATGAATCATACTTTCCTTTTATTCTTTAACTTCGAAATTAAAAAATCAATCTAGACACTATTTTACTATTTTAAAATTAAGCATGACAATTTTTCTATTGCTTTAGACTTTTTTGAGCTTCTATCAAGCAACCATTTTTAAAAATAAAAAAAGGAATATCTTTCTATTAATTAAAATTTGACAAAAACAGATAATAATTCAGAACATATTAATATTACATATTCTGCTTACAATTCTACATATTTAAAAATATCGTTCTTTGACTGACAAAATATAAGAGAAAATCATACTAAAATTACTTACCTAAAAAAAACATTTTTACCATAGATCAATGTAACAAAAATTAAATTTAAACCTTTAAATTTCATAAAATTAATGTACCCGAAAATCTAAATCCAAGTTTAATTTGAAAAGAAGATTAAAATTAAATGTAAATTTTAAATTCACAAATTCAATACAATCAAAACAAAACAAAATCATTTAAGCACTTATCAAATCGAATTATTTGTCTAATTTTCTAGCACATTTAGAAACAAAAAATATGCATGACAAGGTTTTTATCTTTTCAAACCCCCAAAATCAAAACAACTAACTTCATGAAAATAATTTTAAATTTTATTTCTTGAATATTGTGATATATACAAAAACTATTTATTGTTTTAGAGATTCCTTTTAACAAATTACTATCAAAATTATTTAATTTTAGAGCTCAAAATATCCAAAGAAATTCTAAATTTCCACTTTCGGCTACTCTGGCAAGCAACAATTTACAAAATCCACAAAATTCTAACACTAACCGGCAATCAAAATTCAAAATCAATATCTAAAAATTCTAGTACCTAAAACCACTCAATTTCAAGTGATCAAAATCTGTGCAAAATTAATACGAAATCCGAAATCAAACACCAAAAATCAATCAGAATTCTGACACAATACAAAACTCAAAAAAAAAATAAATAAATGAAAATCTAAACAAGAAGAACTTCAAGTAAATTCTTAGCTTTCGAAACACTCTGAGCAGTTCCGCCAAAGACCACAACAAAATTATATTCAATTCTAAAGAGCAAAAGACAAATTAACTGAAAAGTCGCAGCATTCGGATGCCCTTTGGCGCATAATTATTATTATTACACATTAAGATGACAAATTGCAACGAAATTCCCAAAAAGCAGCATTATAAATTACAAGCACGAACGGAAGTTTTAATGCGACAAAAAGTCAAGAACAACAAGAAAAAACATCATCATCATAATCATCAGCATCATTATCATAATATACCAAAAACAAGAGGAACGCAAAAAGAAACAAAAAAAAAAAACAAGACTACAAGGAGCAAGCAACTGTCCTGGCAAACTTTCTGGCAAAAATCTTACAAATGGCGGCCTACTCATTCGCCAGAGAAATAGGACAAGGCAGATAAATCAACGCGAACAAAACAATTCCGAACCAAAAACAACAACGATTATTGTAAAAACTTTCGCATAGAAGGGGTTGAAATTGAAAATAAATTCAGTAGCCAGATTCATATGCCAAAATCCCTCAAGCACACTCACACACACACGCACGCACACACATAACACACGCAGAGGCATAGACAGAAACACAAGCCACAAAGCCAACGATAGTTTTGGATAGCTCAAAATTGTAAACATTTGAAAGCGATTCTAAGAAGTCCTCGGGACGCATTATTTGCGCCTGACAGCAGCGAAGACAAAAAACATACAGAGTTCACCAAAATCCAATTCAAATTCCAAATCGAAATCAAAATCTAAATCAAAATCAAAAGCGACAAATGAAAACAGAAACACAGAACCAGCAGCCAGAACTTTAAGCACACGAAAGACATATATCAGGCAAATCAGCACCCACTACACCCTTTAAATAATGTGGTTAGTTTAGTTTTCTTTGGCAAAGAAAGTTCGAACCCCATGAACAGCAGCAACAGCAGCAACAAGAGCAACAACAGCAACAACAACATACTCAGTCCCCCAATGCATGCAGTTGAAAGCACATCAAACAAAACTGTAAATTTATATAAACTACTGGCAATAGAGGAGAGGTCGTAGCATAATTGCTATCAATAAATAAAATATGGCTGAATCGTGGGTAGGTAGCTCATATGCGCTCTAACTCTAAACTTCAATCAAGTCAAAAACTCCCAACGACCACCAGACAGACAAATTTTTGATTTAGAAATTCATTGCGAAAGTTGCCTGGCCAAGCGGCAGCATAAGCAACAGACTAACAACAACAACAACAACAGCAACCATCATCTAGAGACTTGGCATCAGCAACAACAGCAACAGCTACAACAACAGCAACAGCAACATGAGCAAAAAACCATCTTTCTTTATGAAATTACACATTTCCGACTTGTACAACGACAACATTGTAGCCCAAAAAACCCAAAAAAGCAACAAAAAGTAGCAAAAAGCAGCAAAAAGTAGCAAAAAGCGAAAACATCTATGCAAATGTAACCAAATCTAAGGCAGACCATACCGTTTTTCCATACCATTTGACGGCTTGACTGAAAATTAAGTTACATATCTTATTTACACACAACAAAACTTGAAGAACCAACCATTTAGAAAACAATGACTAACAAACTGAAACGTTTCATACATTTTGGAAATCTGCAAAATCATCAAGAGAAGAAGCCAAAACAAACAAATCGCAGCAAATGGAATCTTGTACAATATTTCTATTGAAAAATCCATTTAGAAGCAAAAAAAAAAAAAAAAAAGAAAACCCAAAATCAGGGATCCCAAGATCTATACAAAGAGATAGAAAAAAGAAAAAAAAAATCATAATAGCAAAAGATACAAAAGAAAAATGACTCAAATCAAAGATATTACAAAGTATTTCGGTCACAAGGTTGGGGATACCTAGTGTAATTGCTTAGACTTAAGAGTGTTGTACTTGCGGGAAGACAAGTGCAAGACCCAACAACCAGGGCCAGATTATATAGAAATGCCTATAGAAAGTTACCCAAAATTCAAATACATAAAAAAAAAGCAAAAATGCAAGCTAAGCAGAAGCAAATACTATTAAGAACTCTTTCATAAGTCTCTGGAAGAAATACACGCGTACGGCTACAGTAAATTTAATTATGTAACTACACTCTGTATCCCCTTAGTTAAGCTAAACAAAAAAAAAACAAGGAAAAATTCACAATTTCAGCAAATGAAAACAAAAAAGGAAACCCAAACATGAATGGGTATAAAATGTAGATAATGCCAATCGTTTTGTCTAAAATGTTAACTCTTCTAATTTTGCACAGTCTTGTGGAAAATGTTTTAGACGAAACGATTGTCGCATTTTTTATATACATATGAACATATTTATTATATACGATATATTAATTAGAAAAGATTTTATATGATTTTCGACTTAATTTCTCCCCATCATCATTTTACATACAAATAGGTCAAATGTTCTCAGTTCTTTCGGTTAGCATTCCTACTTAAGTATAGTGACTAAACCTAAAACTACAAGCAAAAACAAAGAAAAGCCTGTGTTATTCAATCTCTTTGATGGATCTAAAACCAAATCATATTTTTCTCATTTAGTTAAAAACAAATGTCAATTTAATTTGAAATCAAATAATTTTACTTAAATTCTTTTTTATACAAAACCAGATTTAAGACCAAAACCATTTTGTAAACATTAAAAATAGTTGATATTTAAAACTAAAGCAAACAAAAGTAATCAATAAAATTGTACAAGCCAATTTGCTCAAATAACAAAAAAAGGAAAAAACAAATGCTTTTTATTCAATTTTTCAGTTTTATTAAATATTTCAGGAATGTGTATACACTCATGATGAAAATAATAAGTACACCAATATGTATATATGTGCATGATTTTTTTTTAAATTTATATGGTAAGCTAATTGACTCCAAAAAATAAAAAGACCATAGAAGACCTAAACACAAATTTCATTCATTTATCATCAGAATCAATAGTAATATCTAGCTCTATCTTTCTCCTATCCGTCTATACTTAATCATCCATATAAACTCAGCTCAAATTATCAATAACAATTTAACTCACATTAACAATCCCAAAATGTTTAGCACATATCAAACATTTTAAGAGTTAGCAAAATCTAATTTTCAGATCCATATAAATTAGAGACACAAGTTGCTAAAACGGTTCATGATGAAAATCTGCAGATATTCCCTAGTATTTCCTAGTCGTGTAATTCCTATACTTCACTTACATGACCTTATACCATCAACCAGTTTCATAAATATAAACATAGTTAATAATAACAGTGATATAAAATATGTTGTGATTCTCACAATCCTAACCGAAAACTACATGTCATGCATATTATTGTGTATAATAATCTGGTGTCAATTAGCTACAATATTAGAAAATTGAATTGTTTAATTAGTACAAATAATAGTTTAATTAGTACAAAAAATTTGGCTTAGCTTCGACATAGACGTCCATTTTGATAACATCAACTGAACAACGTGAATCACAGATCAAATAGAAAGATATCCTACAAACCCGTTGCTAGCTCAGCAGGCGTCTCAACGAAGGACTTGATCTTCCGAAGGAACAGCACAGCTTCGCGTCCATCGATGATTCGGTGATCGTATGTGAGGGCCACGTACATCATTGGCCTGATCTTGACCTGTAATATTCAAAAGTGAATTAAAATTATATTTTTCTAATTGTATTCAGCTCACCTCTCCCTTGACAGCGATGGGCCGTTCCACGATGCCATGCATGCCAAGTATAGCACTCTGGGGCGGATTTATGATGGGCGTGCCCATCAGCGAGCCAAATACGCCTCCGTTGCTGATTGTGAAGGTGCCACCGTCCATATCCTCTATGGTGATGGCATCGCGCTTCGCCTTGTCCGCCAAGGCACCCAGAGTTTTCTCTATATCTGCGTACTTCATGCTCTCGACGCCGCGGATGACGGGCACCACCAGGCCGCGGGGCGAGGCAACAGCCACAGAGATATCCACATAGTCACGATAAATTATTTCCTATGGAAAGAATTCAAAATAGTATTATACGATTATAGCCCTAGCGAAAATTACCTTATCAGCGATGACTGCATTAACGACGGGCTGATCTTGCAATGCGTTAGAAGTAGCTTTTGAAAATATGGACATAAAGCCGAGCTTGACTCCATTCTTTTTCATAAATGCGTCCAGGTTCTCCTTGCGAAATTGCATTACAAAGCTAAGAAGAAAAGTTTATATTAAATATAATTAATGTGAATGTGTAAATATAATTAATGTGAATCGATGGGCTGGCGTGCACCAACCTCATGTCGATCTCATTGAAAGTGGTTAGCATGGCACAGGTGTTCTGTGCGTCCTTTAAGCGAGCCGCAATTTTTAAGCGCATACGGCTCATCTTGACTTTTGTTTCGGTGCGTGTTCCCGTTATGGGAGGCGGACCTCCTCCGGCGGGCGGTGCTGGAGCAGGCTTTGGCACTGCAGCTGCGGGTGCAGGAGCAGGAGCTGGCGCAGGCTTTGGAGCTGCTGGTGCTGGAGCTGCTGGCGCTGGGGCTGGTGCTGCAGCTGCAGGGGCTGCAGCAGCTTTGGCCGGAGCTGCGCCAGGCTTCATCTTAAAAACCTCCTGGCCAGACTTAACCGTATCGCCACTCTTCACAAGAATCGCCGTCACGACGCCAGCAAAGGGCGCCTGCACCGGCATCGTCGTCTTGTCCGTTTCAATCTCCATGACAGCATCATCGGCAGCAAACGAATCGCCCACCTTACATGTGAACCTGAAACCCAAAGGATGGCAGCTAAAAGTGCGAGCTGTTTACTGCGCGAGCTACTTACTTGATGTCACCTTCTGAAATGGAGTCAGGAAACGGTGGCACCTTAACCACCTGCTCCGACCACATGACGCTGGTGCTGTGAAAGCCTTTCCAGTCCAAACAGCTGCAATGAAATATCATTTAAAAAGAAACTCTAGGAAAGCCCATTTAATATATAATTCGTAATTTTAGAGCCCATCGAATCGGGCGATGGACAGACAGAGACAGAGACAGACAGACAGACAGAGAGTTGTAGTTGAACGTAACGAACAACATCCTTACCCCACTCCATCCTGAAATCGCAAAGCAGAATTCGACTCTAGGCACAAGAACTTATCCGGTGGATAAAGTGCCTTTCCAAGAGCTATCCGACTACAGTGACGATTGAAGAGTTGGCGCTAAATCAGAAGTTGTAAAGGGTCAATTGCTTCCTGTGTCGCCTTTTAACACAACTTGTACTCACATTCCATATTCCGGATCGTAGACATACAAAATATATATTACGCCGCAAGGATCTTTTTAAAATGGAGACAGCACTCATCATTAGCTAGATGGTATACTTCAAGCGAAAAAAAATCCCTAAATAAATCCAAATGTTTTGGGCTAATGCAAAGCTAACTAGATGAAAATCAAACTTTCTTAACATGCCCTCACGATGTGACAAGAGTATATTGGCTTTGTTCCCTCTGTACGTAATAATATTTATTGTTCTTTTATACAAAGTGAGGCAGAATATTTATATGAAAGCGGAATAATATAGATAAGATATAAGATATATATAAGATAAATATATATTCGTAGCAGTAGCAAATTCCTAATGCCTCAAAATCTTTACTTTTAGAATTCTGGCCTAAATTTCTAGCAAAAACTTGTCAAAATTTTCAAATTTTATATTGTGATGAATCTTAAATAAGTATTATGCAGTCTAGTTTAATATCTGATAAAAATAATTAATTAAGTCTATGTTTATTATATGTAAATCAAGACTGTCTTTGAACGAAATATTGTCTAACAAGATAATTTAAAATAAGTTCAGTAGAAAAGATTGGCACTTTTCTCCACCACGCGGAGATATCTTCTAAAAAAGCTTTTTTTTTTTTAATATTTATTCATATATATATATATTTATATTTTAAAGATTCGATTGTGACAGATTATATGCTTACGATATTAGTAGCTTTGTAAATAATGTCAATGTCAAAATATATGTATATTTTGTCAAATGTCAAAATACCCAAGAAACTAACTTTATCAAAGTGTAGCAGTGTTTACGAAAGAAAGAGTAAAGTATTTTATAAGTTAATTCTAACTTTGAATTACGCATGAGGTAAGTTCTATTCCACTATAAGTACATATTTTCAAGCCAGAACTGTTACACAATACCCACTCTGAAAACCAAGCAAACGATCGAAACGCAAAACATTCTTTAGTTTAGGCGAGTATCAATTACGATATCGTATTTATTTACGATATTAATTTTCAGCATGTGCTCTTTAAATTATGAAATGTGCAAAATAATAAATCTAATTGGTTCACGTTTTGAGAACAAATCCACGTCGTAATTATTTTTATTGTGTGTGTTTTTGTGTATATATATATTTTGCTATAGTTAAAACCCAAATTTAAGTCAATTTGTGACACTCGTTAATTTTTAAATAAATACATGAAATTAAAAGTTTCTGTTTATACAATGAATTTGGCTGTGCTTCAGTTTTAAGTCACCGATTCGATAATATCATTACAACAACGTGGACGCAGCGCTAACGGACTTCACAGACTGTCCTTACAGACCGGCAACAATGATAGATGGATTCTCTACGGCAGCCTTCACCTTACGCAGGAACAACACAGCCTCACGTCCATCAATGATTCGGTGATCGTATGTCAGGGCAACGTACATCATTGGCCTGATCTTGACCTAGAATATACAAAATTTTAACAGTTTATTCGTACAATTTGAATCATATATGAAAAAACTCACCTCGCCCTTGACAGCAATGGGACGATCAAAGATGCCATGCATGCCAAGTATAGCACTCTGAGGTGGATTGATGATGGGCGTGCCCATCAGCGAGCCAAACACACCACCGTTGCTGATGGTGAAGGTGCCGCCGTCCATATCCTCAACGGTGATGGCATCACGTTTGGCTTTGTCGGCCAATCCAGCTAAAGCTATCTCAATGTCCGCATAGTTCATACTCTCAACGTTACGAATGACGGGCACAACCAGACCACGGGGCGTAGCAACGGCTACTGAGATATCCACATAGTCACGGTAAACAATATCCTGCAAAAGTGAAAAGATATAATATTTAATAATTTCATTTAGAGCAATAATTGAATTTGAAACGGGTTTAAGGCTTTCGAAACACTATCATATACCAATCTCGATACTAAACGTGTCAGTGTGTTGATGAACTGGTTCTTATAATTTTAATTTTATTAATTTGTTTGATCATTGTATTTGTTCTTAAATTGTTGATAATTTTTTTTTTTTACGTATATTTCTATGCTGATATACCTTAACATTTTTAAGATAGAATTAACAAATTTAAAGAAAATCAATTTTAAATTTAAATCAAATAAGTTTAAGACATATATATGACATAATCTGAAACTCAGGCGATTTCGAATGCACACGAAACAGAGTTATCTATTAAAACAACTACTAAATAGTTATAGAGGTGACGAAAAACAATTTTATATCAATTGGCTGCATAGCAAATACCACCACGTTTTATCAGCTTATCAAATAGCCCAACAAGTAAACAAATTAGCGACTGATAAGCTTCTAATTATATACGTCACAAGTGATTCAGGAGTAAAATTTACCTGGCCATCGATGACGGCGTTGACAACAGGCTGGTCTTGCAGCGCATAGGCACTGGCTTTCGAGAAGATGGACATGAAACCAAGTTTGATGCCATACTTCTTGGTGAATGCATCAAGATTTTGCTTACGGAAGTCCATAGCATAGCTGTCGAGGCAGAGATTCAGGTACATAAGACAAGTAACTTAGAGGCTGCTTCGTTAACTAACCTCATGTCGATTTCATTGAAAGTGGTCAACATGGCGCACGTGTTCTGTGCATCCTTCAAGCGAGCCGCGATCTTTTGGCGCATGCGGTTCATCTTGACGCGTTGCTCGGATCTCGTACCCAAGATTTGACGGGAACCATCAACAGGAGGCACTTTCACCTGAGCCACGGCAGGCCTGACGGCAGCTGGTGGTGGAGCGGCAGCACGGGGAGCAGCTGGTGGCGGGCGCGCTGCTGGAGGTGGTGGCGGTGGTGGGGCTGATTTTGGCGCAGCGGGTGCAGGAGCGGCAGCTGGTGCCGCTGGCTTAGGTGGAGCAGCTGCAGCTGGGGCTGGGGCTGGTGCCTCCTTGGCTGGGGCGGGTGCTCCAGCTGGCTTAGCAGGAGCTGCGCCGGGCTTCAATTTAAAAAGTTCCTGGCCGGGCTTAACCGTGTCACCGTCCTTGACTAGAATTTCCGTCACGGTGCCAGCAAAGGGTGCAGGAACTGGCATAGTTGTCTTATCCGTTTCGATCTCCATGACAGCTTCATCGGCCCCGAACGAGTCGCCCACTTTGACGGTAAATCTAAACGATTGAAGGAATAATGTGTAATCAAGCGACAGATAAGTTATCAGCAGACAGGAGGATCGTCTTGCTGAAGTTTAACATACTTAATGTCACCTTCGGTGATGGAGTCGGCGAACGGCGGCACCTTCACTACCTGCTCTGACCACATGCTGCTGGTGGTGTGAAAGCTCTGCCAGCCCAAAGAACTGCGAATATATAGAGATTATAGAAGCAATTAAGTGGATCGCTTGGCATTTCTTACCGCATCGCATCTTGGCAGCGCAGAGTAGGATTCGTTTCCCGACGCAACAGTTGGTGCTGTTGCTGCAATGCAGCAACCACAGCCAGCTGGGAATACTGACGGGCACTCAGCTGGAGCTGTAAAAGTAGTCAATGGAAGAGAGCATTACTATAATATGCATATAGAAACTGAAAAGCAAATATTGTGCAATTTGATTTATTATCAAGATTGCGTTCATCACGTGAATATTTTATGGAGGCGTGGCACTGCCACGCTGATTGCGCCCCATTGCAGTGCAAACATTTTTTCAATTACATAATCGCATTATGAGCTGTTTTAGCGGCCGCCAGCAACTACAACAAATGATCCAAATACACACAAAATATGTGGCCGTGCCTCCGCTCTCAACGCCATTCATTAGTTTGATGCTAAGTCTAATTTGTATTCGATTGCTTGTGCATTATTCAGGCTGTTCCTTTCGCTTACTTCATGATTCCGCACAGCTTTTAGGCCAACGGTTTGCACGTTGCGCGGCAATTGCCTCGTTAATATTGAAATAATGCCCGCCATTGATGTGGATGTCGTTATGTATCCGCTGCTGCTGCGATCGTTGGATTGTGTGAGCACTTTTTGTCGAAAATTTTAAAACTAAGAATTGTGTTGGGGCTACGGCAATCCAACAGCGTTTCTCCCCTCTTAACGAATGTTCATTTCTTATGTCATGGCTAAACACTCAGCTGAGTGCGGAATTTTGCTCTTGCATACTGCGGTCACACTGTCCTAGTGTTGGTCAAATTATTACACCTACAACATATTTGAGTTTCCGAATGGATTATATTATATTGCTAATATAATAAAGATTGTTTAAAACACATTTATATAAGACTGAATTTTCATGTTTTATAGATGTTTATATTTGAATAATATAAAAGTGAAAAACAATTTGAAATACAATTAATTTAAAAATAAATAAATAAAAATAAAACAATATTAGCCATCAGCCTCGCACAAATATAAATATACTAATAATAACAAATCTCGCTAATTGAAAATGAACAAAAATCGCTTCGTGTTTTTTTTTTTCGCTCTCCATAAAACAGCTGATTTGCTATCGATTAATATTGTGAAATGAAATCTAAATAAAGAAGTGGGAATATTCGGTTCAAGTTCAGTAACACTTTTGCATTCAGTGGCGGACAATCTTTGCCAAAAATTTTAGCATTGTGCGAATTTTTTGGCTTACGAAAGAAGAGGAAAAGGCATAAAAACCATGAGTTCGAAATCCATATTTGAAACCGAAGAAGATGTGGCGCAGGCCAACAAGTTTGTGAATAAGGCCAAGGATTCTCCCTTTATGTTGGTCGGTAAGTCAAATAACTCTTTGCTATCAATTTGATGTTGCATGTGGTTGTTGCATTGGCAAACCACTCAAACATTTCCTGTGCTGTGACGTCACGGAAACTTTTCCTATCGGATATGTATGTGTGGGTGGGCAAGGATGAGCATGCATACCTTGACCTTCGCGGTGAATCGACGATTTCGGTTAGACAGATACTTACGCTGAAATGTATGTGCATACGTGCTAAGAACACAGTGACATAACGTTCATTAACACGTGAATTTCATCATAATAATGTAAATGTAAATGTGTATGTGTGCGAAATTGATGCTGTAGCTGGACAGTTAAGCGGTTTAATGCTGTAAAGGTTAATATTGAAACACCCATGTATGTGGGGAGTGTGTGTATGTGTGGGCCCATCAATTGTATTGTCGTGTATTAACACATCAATGACGTAGCGCTTGGCGCGTGTATTGCGTTTGTATTGGTGCGTCAGCTGCCGCCGTCTGGTGATTATCAGCTAGCAACAACAAATGACACTTCGCAAAATACAATTATAATACAATTTTTGTTTGTTTTTTTTTTTCTACGTAGGCATTGCTGGCTTCGTGGCAGCGGGTCTGATCGGTGCGTACAAATACAAGAATCGCGGCACGATGAGTACCAGCGTCTTCCTCATGCAGCTGCGTGTGGCCGCGCAAGGCACAGTCGTCGGTTGCCTGACCGTTGGACTCGGCTATCAGATGGCCAAGGAGTATCTGTTCGACAAGAAGCCCAAGGAGAAGTAATGCTTCATTCTATATTAACTTTCACTTAAATGTTAAATGTAGTTTTGTAATTGTAATCTAGTTGAATTGTTGGATTATCAGATGCGCCCCGAGAATCGCGAATTATCTCAGCTAACTCTATATATTTGTCATTATTTAACAAATATTTCATTTTTATTTTAGTTTGAAGTCTTTACATAATTAATACACATTTGATTGAATTGGCCCGCACATTTCCCCAGACACCATCCAAAACATTGCCAGAGGCTTTGACAAAAGTTTTAATACCAATTTAATACTACATATTTATTACCATACATTTACGGAGATTGTAAAATTGAAACAAGACGACAAATTGTTGGATAAAATTCTTAAATGTAAGATAGTAAATGTTTTCTATGCCTGTGTAAGATTGTGATAATGTGTGTTTGATAAAAACAAACAAAAAATACTATCTAAAATATTTACATACACATGTAAACTGTCGAATTGTCGGAATGGTCTGAACGATAAATACCTCCTATGTAAATGATATACATATAATTAAAAGCAAATAATTAAGTTATTAAAAAAAAAAAAACATGTTTTAATTTATAAAAAAAATCTTGCTGTCTAAAATTCTGTCGTCGATGGATCAGTAAAAGGTGTCAAGTGTAAGAAAACAACAGTTATCTGAGTGGTGGGGTCGTCAATTTAATTGGCTATGCGATTATTGTTATGGTTAAATTCTACTCTTAGTTTATCTTAATATCAGGAACAATTTTGTCATTGTCATAGATCTCCTTAGCGAAGCATAGATTGGGATAGTCAAAGGCAGCGCCATAGCGATTCTTGCAACCGGCTGTGGCACGATCGCCGGGTGTGTAGACGGGCTGTCCAATCACGTTAGTGGTGGCAAAGTTGCAGGTGAGCACGAAGTGATTGTAAAAGTCACGAGAGAAGCGTACGGCGGCACAGCCCACATGGGTGTTCTTCTCGGCGACGGCAATGGTGAATTTGGCAATCGCCTTGTTCGGTAGATCTTCAGGGAAACTGGCAAGAATTTCAGGAGAGGTGTGAGTGCGCTCGGAGAACCAATTCTCAATCTGCTCCTTGATGATCTCCGCATCGGTGTACTCCGACTCGGGACCACTATAGCTGAAGATGGCATTGTTTTGGCCAGCGTATGCAAAGCGCTCAGTGCTGCGGCACTTGTCTGGCAGGGACTGGCAAGTCTTCACATTGAGTAGTGCCAAATGAGTGAGCTCCTCGCACCAGGACATCTTGGCCATTCGCGCCGCCTTGGGTAGACCCTCAAATTTGCCGCCGGCGACCTTGTTGCGCAACTCATTGAACAATGCTAGAATCAGTTTCTGATGTCCATCCAGCTTAATCTCACGGACATCCTTAGGGCATTCCTCGCTAAAGTTCTGCAGTGATTTAAAATTGGTTATCGATATAGTCATGTAAGGACCAGCTACCACCACTCACGCCCTTATTGTTGCAAGCAATGTGCTTATCCAGACATGTAGGCAAGGCGCAATAGTCCACGGCTGTGGCGATCCCCGCTAGAGCAACCAATAAAACCAAGACTTTCATGCTTGTGCTGGTTGAAACTGTTAAAATGAATGTGATGTCTAGTTTGTTGGACTCTTTGCTATTTATAGTGCTCCACTCAAACTATTGGCATATTATTTCAGCCTGGTTCTGCGTAAAAATCTGTTTTCCAGACTTTCCATTTTTTTAATTAGATATATAAATCGCCAATATATACAAATGAAGGTGCACACATACATATGTATGTATATTAATCAAGCATTTAGTAATTATATAAGAGTTATGAGCCATGCTTTCCTATCTACTTTATATATTTTATTTAACTTAAATCAAACAAAATTAAAGAGTATAAAGTCGATTCAAGTAATTGATTTCAAAATTAAACAATAAGATAATGAAATATACCCTGTAATTATTCAAAAGTCATTTAAACTATCTCTGTTCGCAGCATATGTATGTAATTAACAGAGTCTGTTAATACTAAAACAAGCAGCAGTTGGTTCGCTCGATATCAAGAAAAGTTCCGATAGCTGTTTGTAATTGCGCTGTTAACTATTTTTTAAAATTGAAACAAACGGCTGAACTCTTTTCGGCTAATGAAAGTCAAAATCATTTGAAATGTCTTTGATATTTGCGTATTTGCTGAAGCTTGAAATAATTGGTGGGATTTCTAGCAAAGTACATACTCATTGCTAATAATTTACTTGATATGTTTATCTTAATGTTGAATGATAATTATTAAGAACATTATATATGTATGTATGTAAATGTAACTCAACGATAGTAGAAGGTCCCTGTGAGACTTATCGATAGCTATCGATGGAATATTGCAATTGCGGTCTCCTCTCTCTAATTCGCTGTTTGCACATTTAGTCCAGTATGGATAACACAAACAAAGAAAAATCGGCTGTCTTGATCAACGGTGATGCATTGTCCCACGATGAGATCAAATCACCATTCCTTATTGGAGTGGCCGGCGGCACAGCCAGCGGGAAATCAACTGTATGCAAGAAAATAATGGAACAACTTGGCCAGGCCGAGATGGATCATACGCAGCGGCAAGTGGTGTCCATTAGTCAGGACAGTTTCTATCGTGAGCTCACGCCAGCCGAAAAGATAAAAGCGCAAAAGGGCAAATTTAACTTTGATCATCCGGATGCCTTTAACGAGGAACTCATGTACGAGACGTTGCAACTCATTCTGAAAGGTCACAAAGTCAAGATCCCCAGCTACGATTACCGCACCAATTCGCTGTAAGCAAACATCAATTGTTTATATTGACGGCATTCGCAAATGCAATTTCTCTGTTTGTAGTGACTTTGATAACAAGCTGGTCATCTATCCTGCGGACGTAGTACTCTTTGAAGGCATCTTGGTATTTTATTTTCCCAAAATACGTGATCTATTTCATATGAAGCTTTTCGTGGATACTGATTCCGATACGCGGCTAGCACGACGAGGTAAGTTGGATGATTAACATATGATCTTGACTGATTGCTTCAATCTTCTAGTGCCACGTGACATCAATGAGCGTGGCAGAGATCTGGACGCTGTGCTCACCCAGTACATGACGTTTGTGAAGCCCGCCTTCGAGGAATTTTGCTCGCCGGTAAGCCAAACATTGCAATTTATAAATTTTGTTTATCAACACAAATTTTCGTTCTGGCAGACTAAGAAATTTGCTGACGTGATAATTCCACGAGGAGCGGACAATACAGGTGAGATATAGATGTGCGCCAACAGCCACATAAACACGTGCTTTGCTTAATTTGATAACTTTATCTACACCCACACTAAAACTCACACGCACACAGACACACACCTGTGAAATTTTTAAAGTGTTTAGTTAAAAATGTTTACTTAGTTTTCTTGTATATATATATATATATTCGTATATGTAGTTATATACATGTATCTAGTTTATGTTACAATGCGTTTGAATTCGTTTTTTGGGTTTTACTGTTACCAATTTCTGTTTCCCAGCTCAATTAACACAGATATAGAACAACTTTGATAATACTGTGCCTGACGTTAACTTCCGTCTTTCCATATTCCCCCGTCGTTACTCGTTTCTCGTTTCCTCTTTCCTACTTTTTGTTTTCGTTTCTGTTACAATGTATTTCTTGCAGTTGCCATTGATCTCATTGTACACCATATCGGAGAAATTCTCGCAGCCACGAACATCGCACAGCACAACACAGCTCGAACTACGGCCTCCAGCATGAAGCGCGATCACTAAACAAAAATTCCCCAACATATATATATATATATATATATATGCATTTATATGTATATATATTCTGTTTTTAATTCTTAAGAAAACAAAACAAAATATTTGTGTTCCTAACCAAATGTGCTGAGCTTTCACTAATTGCAAATGATATGTCGAGCGCAGGTCGCCAGGCGGATTTCATGCCTCGCTTTCATTCGCTATGGCCCTAATCCCACTTAACCAATTAACATTACATTAAGCTAGTAAAGTTTATAAGCTTATAACTGTTTATTAAAATAACTTTAAGTTACTTTCATCAATCCTAACGCGGGCTCAAATAAATATATATATTACAAATATAAATCGAATGTTACAAGAAAATGAAAAAAAAAAAACAAAAAAAATAAAATATATAAATATATATATATATATATATATATATATATATATATATAGGTATATATAAATATATTGTTATCCCAATTGTTTTAAGCACTTTTACTAAATCTATTCGAATACACAATTTATAATTTACAATTCATACAGAAAACACATAGTTATCCCTCTGGTATTGTGTCTATATGTTCTTTCGCATCAATCAACTACATTGCAGGAATATGTTTAATATATAAATAAACTGAAAAGATGATTTCCTTTCGCAGTCATTAGCTAAGATCTTAAGCCATCTAAAAATCTAATATCTTAGTTAAGGTCAACAGAATTTAGTAACTCAGTAAAGGAATACAGAAAATCTTTTTATCGAATCCTTTTTCAAAGGTATAATTAGATTTTGTTGACCCGTTTTTATTATATCCCTAACATCATCATATTCAATCATAATTAGTTCATAAAAAATGATATAAATTAAAATAGAGCTAACGATGTAAAATCTCTAATACTAGCAGATTAATATATGGATATCATAATCTATTCCTTAGATAAACTTGTTTATGTAATCACGCTAACTAAGCTAAACTAAGTTCTTAGACATGGTTTATTGAGAACACAAATAACTCCGGAGCATTAATGTTTTAATAGTTAAGCTAAAAGCTTCGAGTGATGTAAAATCTATTTATTGTAGAAGATATGGGAGTAGAGAAGCTCTTGCACACACTTACACATAAGTAGAGAATAACATCAGAAAAAATCAATTCCAAAATAAGCAAAGAAAAGTTATGTATAGTCTTACGAGTGGATGTCATAGCGCGTGGATATAAGTTGAGTGAGTACAGAAAATGATTCAAGTGCACCAAAAGTCGTTCCAGGGCGGCTCAGCCGCAGCCACAAGGTAAGTGCTCGAAATGTATTCCGACTTGAATTGAAGTGCTTCATTTGTTGAGTTGCAACGTTAAATATCATTTAATATATAATATATAATAGATATTTTGCTATATGCCACAAAAAATGTAGAAAATGCACATTTCACTGAAGACATTTTGATATTCTGACTGTGATTTGCTTTGCAGTGGCCATCGATTTGATTGTGCAGCACATCCGAGACTTCCTCAACAATCGATCATATCCCGGCTCAACGAGCAATATGGCTTTGTATATGAACATGGAGCTCTGCGGGAATAGTGGCGATGGCGCCATGGGCGCAGGTAAGCAGATGAAGCTACTCTGCAAGGCGCGTCCACACTAACAAACGAGACCTCTGCGCGGGAGCAACTCCTAAATGCACGACAGACATACATAAAAACTAGAAATACATATACTTAACCCTGCATGCTGCTAGATATAGATTGTTAAGTTCTGTGTCTACATCTATATATACATATATACGTAAGTGTAAACTTTCTGTGTGTTTCGTATGTGAAAGATGCGGCTGGTGGCAATGACATAGCCAGTGATAACGGCAACGGCACCTACAATGCCATCAGACGTTTCTCGACGCTTTGCAAGGAGCTGACCATGAAGGGCAACGTCTTCTTCGAGACTAACAAGAATCTCCCACATCATTGAACGCGTAGTAATTGTTATGCTATTGTATTTTGTCTTTAAATAAAATGTAAAAAATAATAATTATAAATAGAGTCAGATCTTGCATTTGTACATCAGGTTTATCTTGCGGATATCGCTGGGCGAGAAGCCGCGCCTTTGGCCCAGTTGTCGCGCATCGGGATGGTTGCGCAAGACTTGTAATGTTGGCTTTCCATTTTTCGAGAAGCTGGTGTTGGAGTAGTGCATCACACTCGCGTAGTCATACCCGATTCCAAAGGCTGAGTGTGTCCTAGCACTGCTCTTTTCGAAGTTGGCCATCATGCCGGGCTTCACATTCTCGCTCAGCACCTTCACATAGTCATCCCGTTCGTAGCGATTCTGTTCGTGGAGAAAGCCAAGCGCGTGCATCAGCTCGTGGATGGGAGTACCGTAGGTGCGTAGGCAGTTGGGTGACTGTAGATTCACCTCCTGCCGGCCACCGAGGCGTCCTATGCTGCTCCAGCAACCAGATTTTCCATTCACTATGGATATATAATCTCTTTCCACTGTGCGCTTCTTAAAGCGGATGCAGGTCTTGGTGTGGTACTCATTAAAGGCATGATGTATATTATCTAGCTCCTGTGGCGTGAAAGTTCCCTTTATTTCGTAGGGTACCACGCCGCCGGGCCATCGTGTACTCAATGCCAAGAGGCCATTGCGTGTGTCCTCGCGAAATCTCATAGGTATTAGTATATCGCCCTCGAAGTAGGTGCCCAGCTCTTCAGGATTTTGCATTGATTCCTCGCCGTGTGCGTCAACCAAAGCGCCAGTAGTTTCCAAATCAGGATTACCATAAATGGCTTCACCCATCTCCGACAGATCGATGGATTCATCATCCGTATCTGCATTAATTTTAGCCACGATGCTAAAAAGAACCAAAGTAATTGTTAATGTTGGAAAAAACTTTGCCATTTTGCAAAATTCGCAGACTGTTGAAGCTTTAATAAAGTGCACGACTATATATAGATACGTCTAAAGGCCAGCTCCTCTTACCTAGACCTTCAAAAAATTGCCGACTTGGCGTCGGTACTGTTTGTACTTTTGCTGATAAGAAATTTGGATGATATCACCTGTATTTCACTTGTATTGCGTACGGCTGCATATCCAAGTGCGTGATTTATGACCGTCATTATGCAGCCCATTCTATGCTCATATGCATATTCGTGTCAAATATACCAGCCAGTCGCATAGGTTTTGCGCAATTTACGATTTAAGCAACCTGAGTACTTTTTAACGGCTTCTAGGGATTGAAATTTTGATCAACGATTCAGTGCTGTAAAATGGCTAAGGCGAGCTATCGATACTTAACAAAAATATTGTTGTTGACTATCTATATCTCCGATAATTGTAATGTAATCGTTGACATATTCAAAATACAAATAAATGTATTGAAAACAAATAGTATAAATATTAAAAATTAATGATGTATAGGTATAATAGTTTTTGTTTAATAATTTATCGTTATTTGCAGATTTAGTAATCAATAATTATATTTAATATTTAATTTAACAAGTTAAATACTTTTTCTCTTTGGCGGTAAAGTTGCACTTGCATTTGCCGATACACATTTTGCAATTCGATTTTTTCCGAGATTATAAATCGATCAATTCTGATTTGCCCATGGCTACCTGTTGTGCTCATATACTCATCCCACCAGCCCGCTCACAGACAGTAGTTGTCTTGCTCGCACACACTGTCGGTTAGGGATAGGTGCGAGCGCTCGAGCACGGCTGACTCAAAGTCTGCCTTCTACATGACAAACGAGCGCGACATTCAGTTCGCATTTTGTTCTCGACCGTGTTAGACGTTTTTATTTATTGGAGCGAACGCCGGAAGCTTTTGTTTATTTTGCCATTATATGCAGGTGTGCGCGGGTGTTAGTGACTGTTAGTGTTAGCCAATGCTAGCCAGCAACCGTATATTGGTTGAGTAGCCAATGCTGCTTGCAGTTCAAAAGGGCACACAAAAGCGACAACCAGAAGAAGCAGCAGCAGAACAATACCTGCTGGATGGCAACAAATACAGCATTTAAGCCAACTCGTTCGTTTATGTTTGTGGCTGTGTAAGTGAGCTTAACTGTGTGTGTGTGTGTATTTGTTCTAACGAATACACAAACAAATCAAACTACTTATAATGGCCAGTGCTATCCGTGAGTTTTCGCCGTGTGCTCAATACTCATACTCAAATTCAAATTCAAATTCATATTCATGCTAGAAAGTGTCGCGTGCGAAAGTGTTGAAATAAAACCAGCAGCAGCAGTCGCGCACTTTTTTATATAGCAAAAAAACTAAAACCTGTTCTAGACGCCAAGTGCAAGTAACACACACACACACACACGCGCGTGAATTCGTGTGTATAGAGAGAAAAAGGCAATAAACAATAACCAAAACAAGTATCAAACGAAAGAAAACTGAAGCTCAATGTACGCTGCGATCCTTTAAACCAAGATATACATACATAACAAAAAAAATATAGTGAACCCTTCAATCTTTTGGGAAAAAGAAACAATAATTCGAAATTCTACGATCCCAATCCGAAAAACGATAATGGCTATGACTGCTGCGGCTACCTATGCGTCAGCAACCGCCAACAATGCGTACGTCACACAACAGCAGCAACAACAACAAAAACAACGACGACAACGAACAACAACAAATCAGCAGAGACAGCAGCGGCGACTGAGCCGTGCGCGCACGAAAAGCCCAGCTCAAGTGACGTCGGCAGCGCTGTCGACGCTGCTGCTCAAGCGCGCTTGCTCAGCGCCCCAATGGATATTTCTCTTCATATTAATTTATTTAGCAACAGGTGAGTCTGTGTGTGTGCGCGCGCCTGCACATGGTCAGGACCTAAGATTGTGAATATTGACAATTGTTCAAGTGTGTGTGTGAGCATATTTAAGAGAGAAAGAGGGAGCGTGACCGAGAGCGAGAGAGCTGCTGCAATAACAACATAAATACATACAATTTCATATGACACCATTGTGGGCTCCAATTTTCTGCTGAGCCACATACATACCTACATACATACATACATATGTATTTATGTACACTTTTCGAGTGCATTGTATTTGGGGAGAGTGTTAGCTGTAGTTGTTGTTCTTGTTTGTGTTATAATTGAGCTTATTGTTGCTTGTTTACAAAGCGACATGTGCCAATACCTGTAAAGAGGTCGGCGTAGGTCTTTCAGCAATAATACCTGAGCATAAATAGCTTTTGAATGAGTAACACTCAAAGCCGCTTGCATCAATAAAATACTAATTGTCATTTAATACTGATAAATTAAATTAAATTTATTGATTTTATATGATGTTACTCTTATTTTATATTATATTATCAAACCCCATTTTCAAATCTCTGTTGAAACTGAGTGCTTTCTGCTCAATT